ATCAAGAAATACATATGTGAGGGCTGGCCAGATAGCTCAGCAGATTAAAGCACCTGCTTAGGCAGATGCAGGGCTGAGGGGTTTGATCCCCAAGCCAGACATGCCGGTCTCACCCCCAGGGCACTCTGAGAAGGTGCTTGAGACTGGGCGTGGTGGCACGTGCCTGTAACCCCAGCCCTTGGGAAGCTGAAAACAGGAGGATCACTACAAGTCTAATCTACATAGTGAGGCCCTATAGACCCTGCACTAAATACATCAAAAAAGAAAAGAAATACATATGTGGGCTCAGGATATATCTCATTAGCATAAGTGCCTGCCACATAAGCACAAGATTCCCAAGTTCAATCCCCAGTAGCACAAAAAAAGCATAAAAATGCATGTATATAAATTCATAGGTGTATAAAAAAATCTGTTAAATAAGAGTATCATCTTTGGAAACAAAATCGGGCGTACAAGCAAAGAGATCCTGAAATCATAAGTGTTGGCTTAGCTTTGTTTATCAGTGATGACCATCCACATAATGAGTAACACCTGCATCCTTTGACTAACATGCCGAGGAGCAGACGTGTTGTGCTGTGCACCAAGGAGAAACCGATGTTCACTACGTGATATGAAAAGTCTTGATCAGTCCTCATGTGAACATGAAGAATAAAACTGGTATTTATCCCTTACTCACCAAAATAAAGTGGGGACGAGGGTGCAGTCTTTGCTGGAGACTACAGAAAACTGAGGAGACGCGGCCCAGGGAAGGCCGGACTGCTGTGATGGATCCCCAAGGCGGATCTACAGAGAAGACCTTGAAAGCAAACGTGCCTTGCTATTCCATTCCAGTGTCCCCTGTGTCATTACCTCCCCAACCCAGAAGTCGGCCACCAGCTTTCTTCCAGTGTTCAACCTGTCAGGATCACCTTGTCCTTTAGATTATAATTTATACGAGCTCGAAACACCATCTCAGATACACCTCCATTCTGAACTCTGTCCAGGGCTGGTTTCATGCAGAAACAGAGAAACAGAAACACCCCTGCCTTTTCATAAAAATCTAGCTAGCAAGTGCAAGTGAAGACCTCAGAAAGCAGAAGGGGCTGCGGGGGTGCCGGCGGGAGATGAGCTCAGACAGGAGAAAATTACCTTGGGCATCGGGACTGCCCAAGAAAGGCCCCAAAGAAGAAAAACAAGTAGTGACCAGCATCTACTTGTTGCATCTGGCTAAAAATAGAGTGAAGCATTATTCCTGACAAGATTTGGAAACACTCAGACTGTCCGTAATACAGAAAAAAGACTACCCATGAAAGTTTAAAAGGGACAGGCAAACAGTCCTGTGATTGCAAAACCCCAGGCCTCAGCACACACGGCAGCAGGCTCCAGGATGCCCTGAGGCCTGGTGAGCTGGGAATTCCGAGGAACACGCCTTTTCGAGGAGAAAGAAAGCGAATCCACTTGGCCTTCTGCTCACCTCTAGGGGCTGCCAGGTCCGCCCTGAGGGCAGCTGCCAGTGCGTTAATGAGCTGCTTCCGCAGCCCTGGTGTGTGCATAACTTTCAGGCTGCTCATTTGTTACATTCAGTTTTTCCAAGAATTTGTTCCTAGCCTAGTCCAGAAACTACCCTCAAGTGGTATTCACAGTTCCGAGCAGCCCGTGTTCCATTCACACAGTCCGCAGACTTCTTGGATGTGGACCCGACCTTGCTATGTGCTGACAGGAATCCTGATCAGTGAGCACCACCTTGTAGGGTCTGCTTCATTTATCCAGGTAGCTTTAAGTATATGTGGTCAAGGGCCAGCCAGACAGCTCAGCGGACTGCAGCGCCTGCTTAGCAGAGCACAGGGGCCAGGGGTTCAATCCCCCAGGGTGCCATGCAGGCCATGTGCCAGGGAGTGTTGAGCCAGTGATTAAGACTGAGTGTGGTGGCGCATACCTGTAATCCCAGTGCTTGGGAGGCTGAAAACAGGATCACTATGAGTCTGATCTGTGTAGTAAGACCTTGTACACCCTGTAGCAAATGCATTAAAAAATAAATAAATAAATTCTCAGAAAATTAGAATAACACCTGTTAGCTGTAAAGGACAAGCTCAGTGAGAATTGAACACAAGAAGGGGTTAGGAGTTGGAGCTGTGACTTGGGGCAGTTGCCACGGCCACGACCATGCCACCAACTTTCTGTGGCTGAACAGCCTGCGCAGGGCTCAGAGTGGTGGCTTGCCCTTGGGCCCAGGCCTTGTCCTTGGGCCTGCTCATTGGCAAGTGTGTTTTGCCCGTGCTGCTGGACTCCCTGGGAGGAGATTATAATCCCTGGGAGGCTGCATAGCCCACAGGTCATGGAGCGGACTTGAGCGCCACGGGTGGAGCCACACATGCTGCGCAGCATGCTGTGGCCTCCACGGTGGGTGATGGACCAAGGATGAGCTCGACATCTGAGGGTCTTGAAGCAATGGAAAAGGAGACAGCTGTCGCTTCTCCAGCAAGAATGAGCTGGTATGGCCAAGTCCTTCAAAACAGAAGAGAATCACAAAGGAGATTCTCGGAGCCCAGGTTGCTTCCTTCTCCGAGCTCTGCTTTGCCTGTTTTGTTCTTAAGGAAGATGGGCTGGGGTGAGCTGGGGCTCTGCTTTCAAGGGGTATTCTGTAAGGGGAAGTTCTGGGAAGTCCTTCCAGTGCGCAGGTGTGGCCATCTGTACAGGTTCCCGTGGGTGAGCGTGGGTGTCACAAAGCCAGCCTGTGACGCAGCACTGTATGAAATCTTTATACTCCTAGGCGAGTTGCAGCAGGTTCAGTAATTGTCTTGGTATAACTTGTGATGACATTTTACAAGGCAAAAAATAAGACAGTGAAGCCTACGTGTGTTCCTTTGTCTATATCTGAACTCACCTAAGAACACAGGCTGGCTGTCCTCAGAAGATCCACCATTCGAATGAAAAAGTCAAGGCACTGTTTGAAGCTAGCGTGCACCAAGTATTAGCCAACATTAGCACCATTGTGAGTACAGCCATGTACCACTGTCGCGGCCTCCACATCTGCCCCTTTCGTTTAACCACAGTCCTTTACCTGAATGAAATGGGTCCTGCTGCATGCTGGTGAGTGCACAGGGACAGGTTCTCGCTTTGCGCCATCCAAAGTAAAGTTCAGAAGTAGAAGAAATTCACCCTGACAGCTCTGTGCAGGTCGGAGTAGGCTTTGAAATCTCTCTTATGATGTGTCTGGCTCACACAGCAACTATGGCCAGGAAGCCCAAGGTCTTTAATAATGTATCTCTGTCTCAATATAAAATCAAGACAGTATTTTCCCAAATTGCCCGAATGGGGATTTCTCTAATTGCCTACGTTTTAGATTTTGAAGTTTTCTTAACAGGTTTCTTAACAGTTATGTGTCTGCTTTCTTGAATTTTCTTCAAAGTCTAGCATTCAGAGCTTTATTGTAACCTAGGTTTATAGATATTATATTCTAAGAATGGAAAGGAAGTTAGGGAAAGTAGGAGAGACCCTCCTTGGTATTAAGATTCCTTGAAGTTAAAAGTATAGTCTTATGGCTGTCAGGGATTGTGTCCTTTGTAAGGAAGGATACGTGCCTCAAGAGCATCATTTTAGGAAATGACAGTCTGAGATGTTTTCATGAAAGATTTTGTGCGAAGAACAAGCATCTGTTGTGAGTAAAAAGTTTCAGTTATATCTCTAAGACTATTTTCCTAGTACTCAGTGTAACCAGAATACAAACTCAGACGCATATGTGCTGACGTTAGGGCAAGCAGTTTCTTTAAGCTCGAGGAATCACTGATAAAATCATGTGGTGTCGCTTCGCCATGGACAGTTGCTTTCATGTTCCAGAGTGAAGGCTCTTGAGGAAGCATCCTGGTGAGGAAAGATCAAACTGCCATTCAGTCAGCCAGAAACCAAGATGGCAGAGCAGGGCCCCGAGAATCCTCAGATGTACGTGTAGAAAGTGCTCCCCACTCGGGCTCCCCGGGAGTGGGTAGCCCAGACAGAAGGAGCGGGAAAGCAAGGCAGAGAAAGGCCTGGTTCTGAGCTCCTTGCAGTCACATAGTCCCGTGCTAGGTTCATCCCAGGTAGAAAACTCCAGCGTGAGAGAGAGACTTGGCCCCAAGGAACCTGGAGGTCAGGAAAGGTTCACACAGGCATGACTGGCTCTTGGCAGGACACAGTGACCACAAAACTTAATGGCCCTCTGCTTCCTTCTCATCCAGGCAGGAAGTCGAAGGGCCTGGGAGTCCCCTCCCCATGGTCCACTTGCTAATTTGAAATATAAGCTGGGCATGACTAAGTCAGTGATTCCCAATGTGTTCTGGGGAGCCTTAGTCCTGTGGTGTGATCCTGTGTCCCTGTGTGTATGGCTCGGTGTGGGGGGCATGCGTGTTTAAAAAAGCAGCATACGTGTCAATTCAGTCTAGAAATGATGGGTTTAAAAAAATTATGTGCTGCTTGCTCTAGTGAATCTTCACTGTCAACTTCCGCTGTAGAGAGTACTCCGATCTTACTCAAGGGCAAGTGGATGTTTCAGGAGGTTAATACCTTCTCCGCAGCCACACATTTTCTGAAGCCAGCAGCCTGGTGTCCATGTTGCCGGGGACACCCTGGAGCAGGTTTCATGGGCCGCTGGGTAGATGTCCGCCTTGTGCTCGTCACACTTGGACTTGAGCAGAACCTTATTGGAAATTTTCTGAGCATCCCAAGAACTGAGTGTTGCACTAAACCCGCCGTAGGTAGACGGAATCATGCAACCTCTTTACAAAGTTCTCACGCATCAAACCAAAACCTGACTTTGCCCTCAAGCTAAAGAGAGCACAAATTGGTAAAGCCGCACATTCTGAGGTTAGAGACTGTCTCTTTGAGTTGGGTGTGGGGGCCAGCTGTGATTCCAGTACTCGGCAAACTGAGACAGCAGGATCAAGAGTAGAAGGAAGGAAGGACGAGAGGGAGGCCGGGAGGGAGGAAGGCCGGGTGGGTGGGCAGGCGTCCTGACACTGCCTGAGCTCTGCCCCTCCGTCTTTCAGGTGCTCCATCCCCAACGTGTACGCGGCGCTGTTTGCTGCAGGCCTGGCGCCCCTGGCATGCCTCGTGGTGGCATTCGTGGTGTTCGTGCATGCCTACCAGGTGAAGCTGCAGTGGAAGGCCTATGACGACGTGTTCAGAGGGAGGACCAACGCCACAGGTGCGGGAGGAGCGGTCTCTGCTCCCAAGATCGGTGTTGCATGCTGGGGAATGCTAATGACGGCCTAGGGCTCTCCTGCTGGATTCAGATGGAAATTGTGACTCACCAGGAAACCAGGCCCGCAGGGGCCAGCAGTTGGCATAGCCAGCTACTGGTCTCTGTGTTACCCACTGTCTCTGTCCAGGGCCAGCTCAGGCCGGATGTGCAAGTCTCTAGGCTCAGAGCTCCTCTGTGTGAACAACAGCTCGCAGTGCTTCTGCTCTTGAGCTTTGAGATGACCTCTCTGTCCCCACACTGCTCAGGACAGAAGTCCCAGGTTGATCCCGGGGCTCCAGGAGTGGCCTGCCTAAGCGAGCCCACAGGAGCAGCAGGGTCCATGCCTCAGTGCAGGGGGTTCCTTACGCAGCAGGGAGCCCCCAGATTCACCGGCCACTGGGGAGCTGCTTCCCCGCGGCTGAGGGTGAGGCTGGAACTTGCTGTGTGTGTTGGGGTCCAGTCCTTCACTTCTTGATCTTAGCCACACAGGGGCTGTGTCGGATCATAGTGGAGATGGGTGACTCAGTAGTCAGGGTGACTTGGAGGAAAGCTGTCCTGTCCAGGGGGGTAGGGGAAGGATGCACCTGCCCAAGCCACACCCCCTCTTCTGCTGCAGGGAAAATGAGAGTCTGCTCTTCTTGTGGAAGTGTCTTTGCACTTTGGAAACTATTTGTGGGAATAAAAAGGGAGAGAAACCAGGCATAGTGGCGCACATAGTAATCCTAGTGCTTGGGAGGCTGAGGCAGGAGGATCACCGTGCATTCCAGACCATCTTGTGCTACATAGCCAGACCTAGTCTGTGGGCTGTGGATTTCCTACTCCTCCCACTTGTCGGTCCTTCCTGGTGTCTCTCCTCACGACAGGCCATGGGTGTTACTGCTGGGGCTTTGTCCTCCCATGTAAATCCCAGCGAGTGACTCACAGCTTGCAGAAACACCCCGCGCTTTGCGCCTTCAGCAGTCACTGTGTGTGCAGTGAGAGCCACCCGCGCCCACACAGGTACTGAGCAAACCTAGTGTGTTCTGAGCACGGCACCTGGCACTGGGCTTCCTGCCTGCCCGCAGCTGTCCCAGAGCAGGTGTCACCACCTCCCTGGTGGCCGTTTCCCCTCATGCCTCGTCCACTACCCTTCGTCTTCCCTGTGCATCATCCTTAGCGTGGTGTCAGGGTCTGGTTCTCTCCTGTTGTTGAGATCAGAGTCCTCTAGGAAGGGATTTTCCAGAAGATGAGCAATAGCCAACCACCCTGTGCAGCTGCAGCCTCTGAGGGAGCTCTGAGTAGTGAGGCCCTGGGGTGAGACACAGCCACTTCCCATCCCTAAGCTTCTAGGGAGCTGAAGCCGAGCCTACAGTCGCAGAGGAATTCCTCACACTCAAGGGCCTATCCACGTTCAAGCAGGAGGCATCTGAAATCCTGGGGCCAAGTCTGAACCATTGCTAAGGGCTCAATACACATTGTTACTCAAAAGACCTCACCCCATGGAGGAAAAGCATCTCAGTACCTGAACTGGGTCAGGGGAGATACAAAAAATAATCTTTGTTTTACTTATGAGCTAAAGAGAAGAGACCCTTCTGTGCAGTTTGTGGGTTGGCTTAGGGTGGCAGCAGCTGACTGGAAATTCTCTATTCACTGTCATTCAGCACCTGATCACTGGGTGGGCAAAAATATTACTTCAAGTTCTAAGTAGTCTTAAACTTTGAATAGAGAGTGAGGCGGGGTTGTGCAGGCCTGTAACCCCAGCACTCAGGAACCTGAGGCAGGAGAATGCCTGCAAGTTGGAGGCCAGCCTGGGCTGCACTCTGAGTTCAAAGCCAACCTGAACTACATAGCAGGACACTGTCTCCAAAATCAAAAATAATTCTTCCACAAAGAATATTCACTATAGCAATCCTATTTTTTCCATGGGACACAGAATTTATCCAGAAACTGTATTTTCTTCTAACTTGAGATTCATCTTACTAAAATGTGTATTTTGGGGCTGGTGAGATAGCTCAGCAGACTAAAGCGCCTGCTTAGGCAAGCTTAGGTAAGCGCGGAGACCACAGTTCCATCCCCTGCACCACATGCAGCCGCAACCCCACCCGCAGGGCGGGCTGAGCTGGCCAGAGTCCAGGTGTGGTGGCACACACCTGCAATCCAGCTCTAGGGCGGCTGCAAGTAGGAGGATCAGCACGAGTCCCAGCTATATAGTGAGACCCTGTAACAACTAAATACATATAACAAATAAATAAAATGTGTATTTTTTTTTAAGGAAAGACTGTTTTTCTCTTTCCTTAAATGGGAATGTAACGGTGTCAATGTTTGCATGTTATTAGTGGCAATAAAATAAGGGATGGCAAGGTGCATGCCTATAGCCCAGCACTCTGGGGGGCTGAGGGAGAGGATCACAAGTTGGAGCCCACTAGGTAATTTACACCTGAGCCTAAGAGAGTCTCAATGGCCAACCCGTGGGCCGTGTTGTCATCCCCGAGTTAGTCATCACTTATCCTTCACCCTGACAGGGCTTTTCTATTTACACTTTCCTAAGGTCACCTGGCCCTGCCATGTCTCTGGCCACACAAGGAACCTGTCTGAGCCCCTCATCATTCCCAGATAATACCTCCATGTGTGTATGTGACAGGAGACGTGAGCAGGAGGGACTGGAAAGGGCTCTCAAAGGTGCCCAAGTTATCCCATGGCACAGGTAAAAGTGTTTTGCTTCATAAACCCAAGTTACTTGCACTGGGCCTCGCCCTGCTATTGCAGAGATTCCGAAAGTGACAACATCCTACTTCCGGTGACCCTTTGGCATTACAGAAAGATGGCCAATTACTCATTCTTCCTCAGTGCTTAGAATCCTTGTTCCTGCAGTCATTACAGTGCTTGTCACAGAGTGGAGCAGGGACTTGTGGAGGGCCTGTGATCAGTTTCTGTGATAAATTATGAAGTCCTCAAGGGCCAGGGGCATTGGGTGTTTATCTCAAATTCCCAGGGCCTTGACTGAGCAGTGGACAATGGGAACATAATTCGTATTTCTGAATAAATGAATTATTTAGTCTTCCTCAGTGCACCCATAAAATCCTACAGTTTTAGGAAGGATAGCCTAGCTCAATGTAGCATTAAGAGTAGAAATCAAAAGAAATTATTTGTCATTCTGTTTCATTTGTAGCTATTCCTTTGAAAGTTTTTATTAGAAATGTTTTTTTTTTTTTTTTTTTTTTTTTTTTTTTTTTTTTTTTTTTTTTTTTTTTTTTTTTTTTGTGGCGGAACCGGGGATTGAACACTCCCAGTGCCAGACCCCTTTGCTGCTCCCACACTGCAGCCCTTAATCATCCCCACTCCCTTTTTTTTTTTTTTTTTTTTTTTCTTTTATCTTTGACTTCTGTGATTCCTAAAGCTGTGTTCGGCTTTGATCCCACCCTGATCTTTTTGTATAATATTTGCAGCCTACTGAATCCACCTCCACCTAAATATTCCTCACGTGCCACCAATCCAGGATTTTTAGGAAAAGTTTCTGTCCATGCTCACCAGGAGCACTGGACACTAGCTCACTCTGCCCAAATCTGATTGCATGGACCTGTGCCACGCCAGGCAAGGCGGCATGTGAGGTCTCGGCCTTCTGCGCCTCCTGTGCATTGGGGTACACGGCAGCTGGGCCCTGATGCTGCCCATCCACCGGGCTGTTTTCCAAAGTGCCTGTGTTGTCGTTTGTTCCCTGCCGAGGCCGGTCAGTAGTGCTGGGACCACAGGGCCACCTGCTCTACTCCCAGTTAGTGACTTTTTTAAAATTGAAACCAGCTCTCACTGTGCAGTTCAGGGTGGCCTTAACTTATGATGTAGCCCAGACGGCCTCGAACTCATAACAGTCCTCCTGCCTCGGCCTCACAGATCGTGGGGTTACAGGCATGTGCAGTGATCTCATTTTGGAAGAGTTTTATAAACCAGCCACGTCAAGCACAACATGATTACTCTTGTCTGTGGGTTGTGTCACCGTGCAGAGTGCAGCAGTGGGGCCATGGGACCCACAGGGCCTGCCAGACCTGCCGGCTGGGTCTGCACAGGGGACCCGTGGCAACTGCCCTGTGACAGCGTGAAGAGCACCCACGCAGAGCGAGCTAGACCCAGATGCACATGTACCAAGGGGAGCGGACCTCAGAGATCACAGTGAGAAATCTGCGGCCAGAATAGTAAAAGGTCTTAAGGTGAACTCTGTGTGAGACAGACAATGAATTAAGAGAGTAGATTGTAAAGCTAAACTCGAAGAATTCACAAAGGAAGTGAGAGGGGGAAGGAAAAGGACCGAGAAGGGTGAGGAGGGGAGGGGAGAGGCGAGGGCAGGGCAGAGCAGGCCAGCCCGGCGTGGAGCGCCCACCTGTAAGCCCAGCACTGGCGAGCTGCGGAAGGAGGATCAGCTGGGCCCGCGCAGTAAGATTCTGTCAGAAACTGACTAAATAAAATGTTAAAAAGGAAGAAAACCTAAGATGCATAAGAATGGATTACCAGGAGAAGAAAACAGGGAGCACAACTGAAAGAGAATGGCTGAAAACTTACCAGAATTTTTTAAAAAAACAACAACAAAAAAAAAAACTGTACCTATACAGAATATAAGTATCCACACTTACCCAGAAGGGGGGAATTAATAAAAAGTCCATTGTAAGTGGCACGAGGCCTGCCCAGGAGCAGATCCCGTGGTGCGAGCTGGCGCAGCCCCTTCTCTGAAGACCCAGGCTCAGCCGCAGCGCAGACAGCCTAAGCTCTTATTGCAGTAGAAGACACTGCTGAGAATCTCCTCAGAAGCTTCCCCTCGTGCTGCGAACCCTCGTCCTGCGGGTCCCGCCGCTTTCTGGGGCGCCTCCGGAGTCCTCCTTCCTGAGTGTCTCTTGTGACATTGTCGTGGCTGCCTCCATGTCCTGAACAGATCTCAAACATTTCCCTGACAGAGTCATTGTGACTCAGGGAAGAGCCGGTGGCAGTCAGGGAAGGTG